TTTTTTTTGCGGTATGCGGGCCTTCACTGTTGTGGCCTCTCCCGTTGTGGAGCACAGGCCCCGGATGCAAAGGCTCAGCGGCCATGGCTCATGGGCCCAGCCACTCCGCGGCATATGGGATCTTCCCAGACCGGGGCACAAACCTGTGTACCCTGCATCGGCAGGCAGACTCTCAACCACTGCACCACCAGAGAAGCCCAAGACTTGGTTTTGATGGATAGTAGAGAGAGGGTTTGAAGCTAAGTCTAAACTACCAAATTGTAAAGACTATATTTTATCCAAAAATCTACATGCTGAGGAACTCTGAAGTGCATAATTTAAACCATAGATAAATGTTTTAATCACTACTTAGAAAGTTTAAAACAAGATAAGCATGCAATTTTTTAAAGCAAATAACTGGTTTGCCTATTATAAAAATGTCTAAATTAACTAAGTTCATCATCATCATAATATGTAAAGCAAACCTACCTGGTTCATAGTACATCATCTCAAAACACAGAAATTTGGATGCAAAAGAAAATAATTTTCTGGGGCTTGGGGATAGCCCTTTTAAGACTTTAAAGTGTGAAGCACTTGACTGTTAATAACAAGTATATGGGAAGAAATCTTAACCACAACACAAAAGTCACATTTTCACAAATTCTCAAAACAGCAGAATATTATTCTTTCACATCTCAGATGTTTTCTTTTTGGAATAAAAATAAGATTTTGAATTTTGATAACTATAATTTATGTTTTCTTTGATAATGCACAAATGTTTATAAGAGATGAACTGATTCTAAATAACTGATCTTAATTAAAATGGAATCTTAACCCAGGTTCTAGAAATTACCCTTTTTATATTAAGTTCATTTAATTCCGTCTTTCCCTTCCTCACTTATGCCCTCTTCCCCCAACTTGATAGGACCATCTAACCCTTCCATCCAAACTCCATATAAACAATCATAGTTCTCTTGGGAATTTAAAGTTACAATTAAAAGACTTAGATACAGATTGTGTTATATTAATAATTCCAACTATATGATTCTAATAATCACAGAAGAGAAAGTATTTTATTCTGTTTATATTTTATTCTCTTAAGTAAAGTGTATATTCTGAACACAGAAAAAGAGGTGGAGGTGTAAGAACTGAAAGAACTTCACATTAGAAAAAGACATGAACTGCAATTACCTTCCTATGCCCTATTTAGAAAACAACTTAAAGCCACCTCTCAGTGTTAAAAAAGGTATTTATTGACTACATTTTTTATCTTTCCATTAATTAGTTCTGCTTCAGAACTTATTCATTAAACACCTTAACACTTTTGACACACTAAAGAATTAGGTACCTACCAAGAGACCGTTCAGAGGCAAGGATCCAAAAGAAGGCACTGCACCTGGTTTTTGGATTCAGAGATTTTTAATTAATTTTAAAATGACTTCAGTTTTCTACCTTTCAACTGGCAAATAAATCAGTGTAAAAGAGAGCAAGGCCTATTTATCAGACCAATTTAAAACAAATTCTCATTTTTTTGAGGTATACTGAGATGGGGGAGAGGATGCTGTTTCTGTCTGACCCTTATAAGGGTCATGATGAAAAAGGACATATTTCAATGTTAAAGACACAATTCAAAATGAATATATAATAGTTATGAATATTTGTACACCAAATAACACAGCAACAACCGCTAGAAGGCACAAACTACAGGAGATACAAAGAGACATAGACAAAACACCTTAAAAATAAGATACTTTACCATACCACTCTCAGTCCAAAAATAGATCAAGAGGAAAAAAAAATAAGATACTGAAGACCTAGTCAACTTACTCAGTAAGGTAGAAAACCTAAGGCTATATGTCAAACTTCACATGCTGATAATTTTTGCAACTTTTCATTAAGTTTGCAATTAGGCTAGCAAAAAATGAGAAGGTAAGAAGAAAAAATAGTAGAAAAGGAATGAACAGTCACAAAGTGTCAGAAGTGATGCTGAGGAGTTACTATTTTCCCCTCTCCCTTTCCTAAAACATTGTTAAAGCATCTTAAGTGTTAAACAAAAAAACAAAAAAACTTTTTAATTGTAAAAGAAAGTATTTTTGGTTTAGAAAAATCTGAAAACATGTGTCCCCAATGGAAACCACACTGAGAAGTCACACAACAGAGCTGGTGTGACGACTGATCTACAAGTCAAGAAGCTGATTCGTTAAGGAAGGCCCTTCTGGCAGGTTCCATGCCCCTCAGGTGAAGCACAGGTGGCAGCAGGCACCAGACTTCAGCTGCCTCATGTGTGGAACCTGTAAACCATATGAGCACAAGGGTGTATCTAGACCATGGCAGACACACCACTGCAGGTGGTGCAGTCGTCTCTCATGTATGACATCACACTCCATCTCCTGCAGAAAGTCACCATGAGTCCATACTTCTAGTCCACAGTCTCCTCAGATTGCCTTCCTATAAAGCCAGATTAGCAGAAGGTGCAACACCAAGGCAGAGTTCCCAAAGCTTGTCTCCATGACTATCTCATCACCAATGACCCAAATCACAGACTCCATGAGGACAGTGTCTTTGCCCAGCACCGTGGCACCTATGTGACCCTTTGAGCCCATGCCTCCCCACCACCCACTTACCTCCTCTTTGGGAGATCACTTACAGATCAAAACTTTTTTTTTTTTAAATAAAAACCTTCTGACTGCCTTTTGGCTGAACTAATCTTTGTTAGAGGCCCACACGATAAAGAAATATTGCCAGAGATGTATATATGTAATTTGACTCATTAAACCAAGAGATGAAAAGTCTCTGAAATCTCAAGATTTTTGAGGAGGATAAACAAAAAGCATGCATTCAAAGAAACAAAATATGACAGATATATGATGAGACTGCGCCAATACCCAGGGGCCCTGTGTTCATTTTTACTGTGTCATTGGGCAAAACCAGCTACCATTTTATTTTAAAATGAAAAGAAAATGCATTTTGTCTGTCTCACTGAGCAAATGATTCCAGCTTAGCAGATCCAGCCCAAAGGTACTACACTCAGGGCTTTCTCCATTCATCTTTTTAGAAAAGAATCTAAAGCTATAATGAAGAAAATGGGGCAAAGCAAATGACAATGAGTGCACAGCCAAGGTAATTTATCATGACGGTACTCACTTTAGTGTAATATATTTTATGTCTGTTCTCCCACCCACCATTGACATGAACATGCAGGAAAAAATACACCTGTTTTGGGCTTGTGTTTTATCCTCTTCTTTAAGCAAACAAGAACAGTTGTAGTGTGTATATACTCCATTTTACCACAAAGAATTGTTCTGGCAAAATGTACAGTTTTTAATGAAGGATTATATAACTCCTTTATACTCCAAGAAACAAAGCAGAACAAGCACTAAGCAGCATTAAACACACCCAGAGTGCTCTCTAAGTACTGTATGCATTTTTCTTGCCAAAAAAAAATGTCAAAAATAAAAAGTTTCTAAGAGAAATTTATGCATAAATGTAATATTATTTCTCAACAGTTAAGAAAAGGGTTACAGACAATAGTGTTCAGTCATTTGCAACACTGAATCATTTTCTGTAACCTTTACAAATTTTACTGAACAATAAAAATTTTACTTTATTTTCCTATGAAGAGTCATTGTTTCTCAACTCTCAATTCTGTCTTTTTCAAGTAATTATGTTTTTTGAAATCAGTTCTTTATTTTGGGGCTGGATTTTGCTTTTGCAGTTTCTAAAATACATCAGTCAGTCTTTACTTATGAGAATAAGTGGCATTTAAGCTATGGTAGGTTGACCTCAGTAGCTAAAAAAATCCAATAGTTTAAAAATTGAGCTCATTTTTCATGAGATACAAGCCATGAAAAATGTGATCAAAAGGGAGTTGACATCCTGCAATTCTAACTTATTTTACTTGAAAAAACACAAGAAATGATTCTCCTCTGACCTCATTATTATTATTATTATTTTAACATCTTTATTGGGATATAATTGCTTTACAGTGGTGTGTTAGCTTCTGCTTTATAACAAAGCGAATCAGTCATACATATACATATGTTCCCATATCTCTTCCCTCTTCGTCTCCCTCCCTCCCACCCTCCCTATCCCACCCCTCCAGGCGGTCACAAAGCACCGAGCCGGTACCCTGTTGACCTCATTATTGCTTCCTTTTTTTTTATCTATGTGGACTTCATGCTGCAGATATCTGAGCAGAAAATGACCTAAAATATCATTTAGCAACTTTTTTACCAAGATAAAATGTAAAATGGATTACACTATCCCCAAACATGTAATTTTTAAAAATTTTGTCACTCACATGTTCTGTCATTGCCTTTTGTCATCAGTGCAACTATCTACCAGGTCTCTGAATTTTAGAACAAATTTATTGTTAGCTGAATAACTTTCCTGATTCATAAATGTAGATGGACAAAACCATCTTTAAAAACCTAAGTTTACTTGCATTGTGATTATTCCAATATAATGGGTCAAATTCATTTACCTCATCATCACTTTCAGCTCACTACTTAGGTCCACTGTGAGGAAGCACAGAGGTTTAGAGTAAGAATGATCTGTACTCAAGTCCTAACTCATTTACTAACTAGCTGGGCCAGTCACTAAAGTTTTCTGGGCCTCAATTTATACATCTCTAAAAGGAAATGTCGAACTACACAGGTTCTACTGTCCCTCTGAGACTAACACTCAGGTTACTAAACTGACAGTCATTTCACAAGCCATTTTCACACTTACCAACATGGAGATAACAGCCACCTTAGGCTGCGATCACCTCCAGTCTAAAAGGCACTGTCCTATGTTGCCAAAGCAAGTTTAATCAAACCCTCATGCAGCCCATTAAGCTATGACCAATACTGATGTTCTCTGCTGAAACGGAATTACTAGTTTTCACTGAGATTCATCATCTCATTAGTGACCCCATTTCCAAAGTCACCAAGCAAAGGAAATTTCTCTTAAGAAACCTGAGAAGTAAAATCTCTAAAACGGTTACACGTTTGCTACTACGTTAGGAAAGTTCACAGTACCTAAAATAGCCACCACCTCATCATCCTGGATGACTTCCAAGGATCCTGACACCACAAAGCAGAGGGCATCCACACTTTCTCCAGCATGGTAAATGAGGTCCCCAGGAGCACAGTGAATAGTTTGAAACTCTACCGCCAAGGCGCGCAGACACCCGTCGCTGGCCAATCGAAAAGCAGGATGCTCATTAAAAACCTTCCGGTTTAGATGAACACAGATATCAGCTCTCATGTCCTTGGGACAGATGGAGAGGACCTGAAGAAAGTGAGAGATGCATAAGTGAGAAGAAAATAGAGAGGGACTATTTCGGAAAAAAAAAAAGTAATCTAACATACTTACTGACTACGACACAGTCTGCAAAACAGTGTATTAAGGAAAACGGTAACAAGACACAGCTCTGCTCTGAAAGATATAAAAATCCAGTGGGATGGGCTGATGAGCATAGGGGCTATTACAATACAGCACCATGTACTAAAGCTCTGAGGGGGTATGGATCTCACCATAGAGACAACAGAGTCTTAAAATGGCCAGGAAGTGTCTCAGAAAAATATTTAATATAATGTCATCAAAATGCCAACTAAGATAGGTCATTAACATTCATCTTAGTCTCGTTGCTGTTTTAGAATTTTTTCATAACTATATCAAAATTCAGGATAATGGACTTTTACTACACATTGGAGATGGATTCATATTAACCAGTTATAAGACAACAAAAGCACCCTTTGCAACATGACCTGCAATTTGACATGGCTGATATAACTCCACTCTCAATGTGTTTTCTTCACTCTGAAATCCGTATTTTCATTTTACTAATGAATTCATGCTCAGGGAGTGGAAAGAATATTCACCAGCCTTCTGTAGGGCTTAGGCAATTGGCAATGTCAATGCTGGCAAGGTGGGCACATCATGTTCCATGGCAGCCCTTGCTCATTTGGGTCTTTGACTCCTAAAGACTGCTGAAAGCAACAGCAGAATAAGCTGTACATATCCTTTAGAAGAGGGAACAAATGGCAGAAACATGCTTAGAGAGATAGGGGTACAGAGCTTTTATTCCCTGTAGCTTTCAGACAGGGCAATTAAAGACCCAGATTAAAATGGACTTTATCCTCACATTATCATCAGAGCATCATCAAGCAAGATATGATTATAGAAGTCAGGACTGCCCAATTTAAAGATGCATGTGCAAATTCACTTAGAATCCTCTCCCAACTCCCTTGGTAAACTATTCCTTATAATCAGAAATGTTTTTCTTTGATAGAATTAGCATCCCTCAAGCTGAAGTCTAAGTTGATTCTCCTCATTAAAGTTACATTGAATAATGTTTTCATATAAAATGGTTTTCTTCCCTGTACTAATTGCATTTTAACCTTTAAAAAATTACCTAAGGCTTGGAATATCCCCTGACTTTCTTTTATTAGGGGTTCACTATCAATGAGAAGGAAATTTCTGTTTGAAATGAAAAGCTGGTTGCTTCCATGTGTAGAAGATGAGCCCATGATAAATGTAAAGACTGTTCATTAAACGATGATTTCAGTATCCCTCCCCTTAACCTCTCCTAGTACTGTGATACTATCTCACATCACTTAAGCATCTTTGTGGATTTTTTCTTACTCCTTTGAATTCCTACATGCAGTACAATCAGCTCACCTATCTTTCTGAAAAAGTTCATCTTTAAGGAAAGGAACACCTAACAGGGATATAGAAGCAACTGGCACTTTCCACATCAGTTATTTTCCATAATAATATAATTTTTATTTACTATATTAACTTTTAGTGACTTCTGACAATATTAGTCATTCAATAAGCACTTATTGGGCTTCTACTATGGGGCATGCCACTGCATTAAATTCCTGGAACTAGAAAGATAAATAAGATGCTCTTTGCTTTGGGGGAGGTAACCACGAAGTAGGGGGAGGTAGGCATGTAAAGAGACAACTACAATACAGTGAGAAAAGTGCTATGATAGGGTCATGGCCAAGGTGACATGGAAGCATATGCTGCCTAGAAGTCATTACTTATGACTTAGAGGTACCATAAAAGATCAGCCTCAAGAGGACATGGGTCTGGGTGCAAATCTACCACCTACTGCCTCTGTAACCTAAGGCAAGTTATTTAACGACTCTAAACCCCATCTGCGAAATGGGATGACAGTGTTTATTTCATAGGTTCATTGTAGGAATTAAATGAAAGAACTTGAGTTAGCCCAATTTAGTCTTGCACATGGCAAAAGTTAAAGAAAGGCTAGTTTTTATTTCCCCTACTGAACATGAGTATTCCTACAAAAGTTACTGTTTTTTTTTAGTTTTCTAAAGAAGCAGTTTGCTCTTTTTATTTCATTTTCCACTCCTGCCTGAATTCTGTTTCTTGGCTGTTTGATGAGGTTCCAAGCAGAATTAAGAAAGTATTTCAGCATGAGCCTGAATACATTTTAAGCTTTAACTAATATTAATATTAACTAATGTTAATATTGTTATTTTAATAATAATGTTAATATTATATTTTAATAATGTTAATATTATATAATATTATATTATATTTTCCTCAAGTTGAAAGTGAAACTGGTGCTAGAAAGCAAAAAACATAAAAGCAATTTTAAAGTACACACACACGCATAAACATTGCACTGAATAGCTTAATGGGAAAACGGATCAATCTATTTCTATCCCATTTACAGTACAGAATTTTCATTGTTTTAGATTCATTTTGGTAATAGTCATTTTATGCCCTTTTAATTCTTTCTTTCAAGATGCATGCTGCAAATGAAATCTTCCAATGTTAGCAATATTCTCTGTTTAGCGGCATATCAAAAGAGGATTTTTATTGCATTTTAAGTGCATCTTTCCGTTTTTTTTCACTTTCCTTAAGACATTGCCTCATTATTTTGATTCAAGGTATAAAGTCGAGACGTCATAAAGTGACAAATTAAAACTAAGTGTTAAATAGACCAAAGTCACCCCTAGTGGCAAGCTCCTTCCCATTCCATATATAGAACATGTGCTCTATCACGATGTGTCTGTCATCAAAACATGAGTATAGTGTTATTTTTTCTGTAAATGAAAGCCCTAATAAGTGTCTTAAGCAAGGCAAAATTTAGTTTTAAGTGATAAAGTTATCATGCAAGATGACTCTCACACCTGGTCCACTGGTCCCAGTTTCAATGTACTCTGCCTTGAATGTCATATCCAACCTCTCGCTGGTATATTCCCCATTGGATATCTCATAGTTATAAACAAATGAAATTGAATTTCAGTAGAACATATTCAGTTAAAAGTGACCTCTTGTATTTGACTCCCAAGTTGATTATTTATCCCCTCTTCATGTCAGGATAGAAATAAATCAAAGTAGACTCTTAATTAAGACAATAAGTTTTCCCTTTGGAAGAGTTATGGCTGTATATAAAGGGTCGTTTTTAGAATTCTGCAAACCAAGTGTGAAAAAAAGGAAGAATGCCATGGTCCGAAAAAGAAAAAATTTTGAGTATTTATGATGCCAGTTTCATTAAACCCAAGATCAAGAGGTATCATAATAGATACCCCTTAGGCTCCAAAGATCTAACCTCAACACTGACACTAGATCTTGATCTTAGAGGAAATGCTTTCAGTTTTTCACCATTGAGAATGATGTTTGCTGTGGGTTGTTGTATATGACCTTTATTATGTTGAGGTAGGTTCCCTCTATGCCCACTTTCTGGAGTGTTTTTATCATAAATGGGTGTTGAATTTTGTCAAAAGCTTTTTCTGCATCTACTGAGATGATCATATGGTCTTTATTCTTCAGTTTGTTAATGTAGTGTATCACACTGATTGATTTACATATATTAAAGAATCACTGCATCCCTGGGATGAATCCCACTTGATCATGGTGTATGATCCTTTTAATGTGTTGTTGGATTCGGTTTGCTAATATTTTGTTGAGAATTTTTGTGTCTATGTTCATCAGTGATATTGTCCTATAATCTTTTTATGTGAGATCTTTGTCTGGTTTCATAGAATGAGCTTGGGAGTGTTCCTTCCTCTGAAATTTTCTGGAAGAGTTTCAGAAGGATAGGTGTTAACTCTTCTCTAAATGTGTGATAGAATTAGCTGTGAAGCCATGTAGTCCTGGACTTTTGTTTGTTGGAATTTTTTAATCACAGTTTCAATTTCAGTACTTGTGATTGCTCTGTTCATATTTTTTCTTCCTGGTTCAGTCTTGGAAGTTTGCACCTTTCTAAGAATTTGTGCATTTACTCTAGGTTGTCCATTTTATTGGAATATAGTTGTTTGTAGTAGTCTCTTATGATCCTTTGTATTTCTGCGGTGACAGCTGTAACTTCTCCCTTTTCATTTCTGATTTTACTGATTTGAGTCCTCTCCCTTTTTTTCTTGAGGCATCTGGCTAAAAGTTTATCAATTTTGCTTATTTTCTCAAAGAACCAGCTTTTGGTTTCATTGATCTTTGCTACTGCTTTCTTTGTCTCTATTTCATTTATTTCTGCTCTAATCTTTATTATTTCTTTCCATCTACTAAATTTAGGTTTTGTTTGTTCTTCTTTTCCTGGTCGCTTTAGGTGTAAGGTTAAGTTGTTTATTTGAGATTTTTCCTGTTTCCTGAGGTAAGATTGTATTGCTATAAACTTCCCTCTTAGAGCTGCTTTTGCTGCGTCCCACAGGTTTTGGATTGTCATGTTCTCATTGTTGTTTGTCTCTAGGTATTTTCTGATTTCGTTTTTGATTTCTTCAGTGATCCATTGGTTGTTTAGTAACATACTGTTTAGCCTCCATGTGTTTGTGTTTTTCACAGTTTTTTTCTTCCTGCAACTGATTTCTAATCTCATAGTTTTGTGGTCAGAAAAGATGCTTGATATGATTTCAATTTTCTTAAATTTACCGAGGCTTGGTTTGTGGCCCAAGATGTGATCTATCCTGGAGAATGCTCCCTGTGCACTTGAGAAGAAAATGTATTCTGCTTTTAGATGGAATGTCCTAGAGATATCAATTAAGTCTATCTGGTCTAACGTGTCACTTAAGGCTTGTGCTTCCCTATTAATTTTCTGTCTGGATGATCTGCCCATTGGTCTAAGTGGGTTTTAAAGTCCCACACTCTTTATTGTGTTACTGTCAATTTCTCCTTTTATGGCTGCTAGCATTTGCCTTATTGAGGTACTCCTATGATGGGTGCATAAATATTTACAATTGTTATATCTTCTTCTTGGATTGATCCCTTGATCATCATGTACTGTCCTTCTTTGTCTCCTGTAATAGTCTTTATTTTAA